GAAACCACCTCAGCATGCCCAAAGACAAGGGCCTGGGTGGGGCACACAACCTTGCCCAGCTCAGCACCCCAGGAGGTTCAGTGCCCAGTAACACCATCACCAACACTACACTCAGAGCGTCAGGCCCTGAGAGGTTATGGGGACAGTCCCAAATCAGAGGTGCCTGGCAGATCTCCAACAGCCCCAGGATAAAGAGTTTAATTGATAAGGTCAGAGATTGGCCCAGCAACCCAGCCAATCAGAGGGCAAATGAAAGCAAGACACCTCTCGGGTCATAAAGTGGGTTGCTTTATGCTGGTGCAGAACACCAGGCCAGAGCTTTCCCCCACCATGAGGGGCCAGCCAGGAGAGAAGCTGGGGGAGGCTGGAACTGGTATCCTAGCATCCTCTGGGTGAGTCTGTACCTCAAAGGAACCACACCTCTGAGTCAGACTCAGCAACAGCAGGAAATAGAGGGTAGAGAAAGGCAGGGATGAAGAACAGGGGAAGGCGGTATGGAGGTAGAAGAAGGTGAAAGAAGGCAACATCAAGAAATGGCCTGTATCAGAACACCATGACAAAGGCAATGGTGTTCAGGGGAGGGTGGCCTGTGGGATAAGAAGGGAAATTAATCTGATAGTGAGGGCAGATTCCGGATTCGTGGACAGTATGGCCCAGGAAAGACAGAAGTTCAGCACTGGTGCAAAAAGGGAAAAATGCAAAGGTTATCCTAGGATTAAGGAAAGAAGCCTGCTCAGATTTGGGAAGGTGGCTGGTTTAGAATGAACCTGGGAGTTAGTTGATGCCTGTTAGGGGGGACTTTGGTACAGAAGAAGCCTTTAAATCAGGAGCCCCAGTATTGCAGCGGGACCTCCCACAGGCTGTGTGACCTTGGCCAAGTCCCTTCCCCTGTCCAGGCCTCAGTCTCCTCATCAGTACCACTAGGGATTGCACGGAATGTGCTCCCATCCAGCACAGACATTCTGAGGTTCCATCCACAGAAGGAAAGGCTCTGTCCTGGCTTACAAGTTTGTGTGTGAAGGAAGAACTAGAGGGAGGGGCCTAGGCCAGATTTGGTGGAGAAGAGAGAAAGCAGAGCTGTTCTAGGTCAGGGAGCTTGGCAGAGCAGAAGGGGGTGTAGGGGACGATGGAAAAGGCCAACCCAGGCCCAAGAGGGTGAGAAGGGGAGGGAAGAAGCTGGGGGTTGGGGGGGGGGTNCTTTCAGGGCAGGAAGCTTCTGCAACTCCCGGTTCTTGCTGAGGTTGAAGCGGGAAGAGCTTTGTCGTCGCTCCTTCTTGACAATCTGGGGCCCCCCTGAGTACTTGATTTTGCTGAGCTGTGTCGGGGGTGGTGTGCTGTTGCTGGGACGCTTGTTGGATGACGGTGGCTGAGACTGAGGCTGCGGCTGGGGCTGGGGTTGTGGCTGTGGCTGTGGCTGGGCCTGATCGAACAAGTGAATTGTTGAAGTCCACGCTCCAAACTCTTCCTTCCACCCCAGGCCGGGGCCACTGCCCATCCCCCAGTCCATTTATGCCTGCACCGACCTGGGCAGTGAGGAGCTGTCTCCTGCCCTGAAAGGAGCCAAGGCCAGGGTCACATATAACTATGGGTTATATCCCTGGAAGGGAGTGGACACGAAGTCGTGTCTCCCCAAGTGATGCCTACTGCCTGTGTATCAAGGGCCTTCTAAATGTTCACTACAGTTCATGAATAGGCAAAACTAATCGATGACAGAAGTCAGAAAAGAGGCTATCTTTCCGGGGCTAGGGGAGGGGTGGTAAGGGGTGGTGCGTGGGTACTGACTGAGAAGGGGCATGAGGAACCTTCTGAGTAATTCTCTATCTTGACTGCATCTGGGAGATGGTTCACAGTATATACACATGTAAACGTTCACTGAGAAGACACCTAAGATTACTGTACTGTACCACTTTACTGAACGTGTGACAGTCTTCAATTACAAGTTAAAAGACATCCATTCCTATGTCTCAGTAGTTTAACTGCTAGAAATGTAGCTTAAGAAAAATCCTAACTATAAAAGGCAGCTTTGGCCTTTTTATAGTTTTTTACAGTTATATGTAACAGGAAAGAAAGGAAGAAATGAGCTATCATGGAGTTAAAATCAAGTTTACAAAAACTATGTACTAAATATAATCACACATGGTTCCGCTGTGAAAAATATTTACACAGTCATAGTAATTTACCCAAAATTGGTGATAAGTATTTTAGGGGGGAGGGGAAATGTCCACAGGGAGGTATAAGACACCAAGGCCTTAGTTTTCCACAGTAGGGAGTCCATAGATAATATCAAAACTTCAAAAATTAAAAAAGAAAAGTAAAAGACTCTTATTTGAAAATAATAGACGTCAATCTCCATGGAAAGAGTTAGGAATTGAAAGTGGCTGTCACAGACCCACAGGAGAAGCGGGACCTGGGCAGGGGCTGCCCTTTGCATTACAAACCCAAGGCTTTCTGAACGACGTACATGTTCACATTTACCATGTTGACAGAAATCGAAAATAAGGACAATAAAAACAGTGCATGCAAAATGAGCTCTCGCACAGTACAACACAGGCACAGAACCTAAAACCCTGTTACCAAAAGGAAAAGGACAAGAACAAGACCACCACGGTGGTCATGACTATCTCCTGTGGTAGCAGAAGGATAGATGACTTTTTTCTGCTTTTCTGGATTTTGTGCAAGCTGACACTGCTTTGATCTTGAGAGAAATACAGCTAATTTTTAAAAGCTATCTCTATGCTTCTTCCCAGACACGGGCGTCAGAGCCCCAGGAAGCCCATTTTCAGACGCCTACACACAGATATTGGCAGGGCGGTCCACCCACAGGTACCGTCCTGGTAACCCCATTGTTACCAGGGAGAGAGGTTGAGCCACGGGGACAGCCCTTACCCCCAACCAGAGACTGCAGTAGGACTAGAGGAGCGAGGCCACATCCACAAGGGCACCCAGCACACAGGACAGTTGTCTTGTGCTCATACCTGCCATCCCCACCCCTTCTCCAGCCCCCTCCACAAACTCTCACTTCATACAACAAGGAGTGGGGGAACTTGAAATCCTCTGGGATAGGATAAAGGGGGGAAGACAGAAATGTTATGCTTTGTAAGCTCCAAATTTTTGATAGCAACAATTATGTTGAGCTTGTGACCTAACTGGGGGTCAGAGAACAGGAAGGGAGCCTGGGGTCCAGCCTGGGGCAGGTCCTGGGTCCAGTGTAGTTCATTACCACTCTGGCCATTTGGCCTTCTCCTCCGCCTAAAATGACAGCTCCAGATTCCAATTTGACGAGGGGAATGCAAGGAAGTGGGGCAAAAGCAGCCGTCACACACCTCTCTTGCCAAGACCAGCGCTCAGCTAGTGTGATTTTGGTTAGACAGTGTGAGGCACCTGGAGTCTGGGGTCTCTCTTCCTATACATGGCAGATGGATCACAGTTTGGTGGAGGGTGGGGGAGAGAGACAGAAGTCTGAGGGGCTAGAGCTTGGTATGCATCAGACTCTCCCCTGCTTTGTGCCTCCACGTCCCTGTCATAGGAACAACCATACCCTTATCTGTGGAGCTTAATGGTCAAGGGCAGATGAACCTGACTGCCTGGGTTTGGCTCTTGGCTCTGCCATTTATTATCTCAAAGTCATATTGTCTCTCTGTGCCTCAGTTTCTTTATCTGTGAAATGGGAGTGACAATAGGACCTACCTCACAGGATTGTAGTAAGGATTTAAGTGAACAGTACATGGCACACGGAAGTGTTTTATAAGCAGTAGCTTCTATTACTATTATTATTTCCCATCCCTGGATTTTAGGGATGCAGCCTGGAAATTCCTGAAATTAACACACCTCAGATGCTCCTTAAGAGTCCATTGTCTTTCTTGTTTTAAAATAGGGGAACCCAAGAAGGCACTGCATCTTTCAAGACTCAGCTTAAGTCCCACCTGTTTTCCAAAAAAGCCTTCTCAGATGACTCCAGGCCTTGGGTATCCACCCCCCGTTCCCTGCCATCAGAGCGTGAGTGGACACTGACTAAAGGCAGCGTGGCCAACCTGCTGTCCACTCCTTCGGTATCCTGCCTGGTCCCACTTCTGAGACTCTGTAGTGGTCATCTCCTCCGCCTGAAGTGCCTTCTCCTGTCACTACTACTAAACTCTCAACAAGATCCAAACTCCAGGACGCCTTCCTAGATTCAGGCCTCCAGCAATCAAGGGGCGCTCTGTATTTTCACACCACAGGAGACTGTAACTACACCTGCCAACTATACTCAGAACCAAACCCAGTCCAACCTGATCCTAACATACCCACCATCAACCCATAGATTGAAACATAAATAAAACAGGAGATAGAAATAGTAGTTAAGCACTACAGAAAGCATTGTCACAGAAAGATGAAAGCTAAACAGTGAAAAATGCAAAGACGAAGGTTATAGCTTTGGCATCATGAATTCACTAGCCAAAAAATAAAAAGATCGATTTAGTTTAAAACTCTCAAAACCACAGAGGCATTCTCTCCTATACTGACATCTAGAGCTCTATCTAACTGGACTTAATTTGTTCCTTCATTTATTCAATAAACATCGTTCTCAGCATTAGAGATTAAAAGATGAA